TGGGACTAACACGCGTTCTGAGGATCATCGAGGGGTCCATCGCGGATCCAAGAACTCCGCGCGGAGCGCCACAAGTTCCTGCTTCTGGTGTTTCTTCCTCCTTCCGGAGCGAGCGAGCAAGTCCAGGAGGCCTCCTCCTCCTCGTCCTCCTCCTCCTCCTCCTGCTCCACGTCCTCCTCCTCCCCCTCCTCCTCCTCCTCCTCCTCCTCCTCCTCCTCCTCCCGAGGGCCCTGGCCGCGCCCCGGGCGCGGGCGCGGCCCGCGAGCCATGCCGCCCTCCAGGGACGAGCGCCGGCAGCTGCGGGGCGGCGCGCCGCGCCAGGGCGGCGGCGCGCCGGCGAGGGCCGCCGCCGGCGAGGCGGGCGCGGCGGGAGGCCCGCCGCCCTTGCGCCCTCGTCCCCGCAGCGCCCATCCCCCTCCCCCCTCCTCCCCCTCCCCTCCTCCTCCTCCTCCTCCTCCTCCCCCTCCCTCCCCTCCCCCCTCCCCTCCTTGCGCCCTCGTCCCCTCCCCCCCTCCCCTCCTCCTCCTCCTCCTCCTCTCCCTCCTCCTCCTCTTCCTCCTCCTCCTCCTCCTCCTCCTCCTCCTCCTCCTCCTCCTCCTCCTCCCCCTCCTCCTCCCCCCCCCATCCTCCTCCCCCCCCATCCTCCTCCTCCTCCCCCCCCCCTCATCACCCTCCTCCTCTCCCCCCCCCCCTCCTCCCCCTCCTGCCCCTCCTCCTCCCCCCCACCCCTCCTCGCCCTCCCCCTTCGGGTCGCCTACAACCCCGGGGGAAACCGTCCACCCCACCCCCCTGGGGCGAGGCTTCGGGGGCTCGCCACGGGGGAAGCGGGTCCTCAGGGAATCTAGGCCTCCCAGATGGGGTCCGGGTAGACGGGGTCGGAGGATCGCGCCGCATCGCCGATGCATCGGCGATGCGGCTCGATGCGGAGCCCGATTTTCTCCACGCCGACGTCGCCGGTGCATCGCCGGCGTCGCCAGCGCATGGCCGATGCATTTGCCAATGCATCGGCGATGCATCGCCGATGTATCGGCGGTGCGGCGCGATCCTCCGACCCCATCTACTTATACCCCGTCTAGGAGGCCTCTAGTTCCGCTACTCGCAGAGTGGCTACTCGCAATCGGCCGAACACACATGAAACGCAAAACAGTCGGGTCGTCCGCGCCGGCATTGGCGCGTAAGCTGCCCGCGTAAGGTCGCGCGGAAGCGCCCTCGTCTCCAATGCAGCGTGCCGCGCTGGCGGCCCGCGTAAGCCGCCGTGTGAGGTCGCGACGCCATCTCACGGAAGACCCGTTTTTGATCGTCGCTCACATGTCTATTTCGATGCAACGTATTACCGATCCACCATGGTGGATCCAGGCCATTTGCGACGAGTAGTTACCTTGCGAGTAGTGGAACGCACTTGTCTAGTTCGGCTGCGCGCGCGGCTGCGGTGCTCGCTTGGTCTCCCAGGCGGGGTCGGAGTAGAGCAGCAGAGGATCGAGGAAGAAAAAACGCATAAACATGAACGTTTGGCGCTGAGCCCCGCGGGAGCGCTTCTGGTGCCGCCCTTGGCCCGCTCCGCGCGCCAGGGAGGGGGGTCCAGCTCAGGTCCAAGAAATCCGCGCGGACCGTCGAACGTTTATGTTGATGCCGTTGATCAGTATGTTCCTCTACTATAGGCCTCCCACGTGGGGTCGGAGTAGAGCAGCAGAGGAGGAAAGGGTAGTTACCCATATCGAGAAGTGGCAAAGCGCCATGGCTTGCCCAGAGGCCCACCAGACAATGGTCTAAGAACCTTGTGGGGTCTGCACGACATGTTCTTTGAACAGTTCTGGCTGAGACTGTCTTGTTTTAACACATTGGGCCTACGTTCTAGGAACATTGTTTTTTTTTCGAACTGGGTGGTCTAAGAATATTTCGTGGTAGTCCTATAGGAATGGCAGGACGGTCGGTCCCTGCCCAGCACACCACTAGCCTTGCCCGGGCTTCCCCATGTTGGGCCTCCTAGGAGGCCCTCGTCGCCACCCCTGGATTCGCCTCGAGATGTTGGTCTGAACGCACCCTGGACGAGGTGCCGGGGAGTGGTGGCATTGGTATCTCTTGGTTTCCCTGGATTCTGGAACTTCCAGCTTGACACATCTCCCTATACCTATGTTTGGCACTCACCTCACCTCAGTACGGATCTTGAGGATTCGCTCAGTTTCTGGGGTTCCCGATCTTAGGCATAGGGATCCCAACCCAACCCGAAGTCCCAAATTTCGGGTTGGGGGCTGCACGGGTTCCATCTGTGTATTATTGTCCATGTTCTGGGGTGCCCCCCATTGGGAATAGAGGGCAACGTGGGGCCTTCGGGGAAAGATAGGGTCTGTATAGATCGGGGCGGAGAATTCCGCCGCATCGACGATGCATCGACGATGCGGCTAGGTGTGGAGCCAGGGTGTCTCCACGTCGATGGCGCCGATGCACCGCCGACGTCGCCGAGGCATCGACGATGCATCGGCGATGCACTGGTGATGCGGTGCGACCGTCTGACCCCGTCTACTCGGACCCCATCTAGGAGGCCTCTACCAGACCCCCTCGCGCCCTGCAAAGAACAGGTCGTGAGTTTTTGTTCGAGCTTCGGCCTTTGGGAGCCCCGACAGGGCCCCAGGACCGTCAAACAATGACTCTGGCTGAAAAGGAGGCCCTGGGGCAAGGGTCAGGACTGAGGGGGGGCGTATATGGAACAAGTGAGGACATCGCATGCTTGGGTTCGCCTGCGCGCAGGATTGCGGCTCGGGCGTCTGTGCGTCGTCGTCGGTTCAGGGAGGGTGTTCTCGCCTCGGGATGCACCGGTTTTCTCGAAGGGCTTCCTGGAAATTTCTCGGCGGCTTTCCAGCCGCGGGGACAATGTTGGGGTTCTGGACAACGGAGGCCCTCCCTGGCATTTCTGTTTCACTTTTTCTGGCCTCCTTGGCGCCTCTCTCACCACGGCCAGATCGGCGTCGGGAAACGGGTCGGGACGAACCCCCAGAGGAGCCCTGGTAGGGGAAACCGGAATGGGTCCTAGGGAGCAATGGGTCATGCGAGCACATTTTTGGATGTATTTCCAGACATGCAACCATTGGGCCTGCTGATAGCGCCCGCGGGGATGCTCCCTGCGAGTCGCGCCGATGAATTATGGGGCCTCTGTGGCGCATGCGCAGTGGCGAGGCCACGTGCATCAGGCGAAGGGCGACGTTCCCATGCGACGCCCGAGATCACAGTAATTATGCATTCGTGTGCCCGCACGGCACCAACGCGGGCAACTGATCGATCATCGGCGCCGATCAGCGCGGCCCTGATTCGCCGCGGGACGAATGGCCACCGCGATCTCTTAATCGAGGGCGGACAGACCTCCTACCCTGACACGTCGATTAGTGAATTGTCCGTTTTCGGTTCTCGAGAGGGCGCCGCGGCCGTCATTTTCCAGGCTTGCGCCCGCCAGGTTTGAGCCCGAGGTCGTTTTCACTAAACCACTTTTACTAAAGGGAGGTCTGTCCATCCCCGACTTAAGTTTTAACTGTTGCGCGCCCAGCAATGAGAACAGGGGCACTCCCCAGGGAGACTCTCTCCGGGAACGGAGGGCGGGGGCACACCGGTATCGTGCATGGCATCCGCCTCTTGGCCTTCGACACGCTACAGTCAAAAACCTTAATAAGGACGCGCGGTAAGGACGCAAGACCCTTGGAAGCCGAAGTTGGGATTTTTGGGGCGGCGGACGACGAAAACCTCAAGGACGCAGGAGCAAGGAAGAGCAAGGACGCAAGGGTACCCTGAGCAAAGTCGCGCGTCCTTATTAGGGTTTTGACTGTACACTGCAACATACGGACCTTGCCCACCCTTGTTCGTCCCGTGGACGGGTGGGCTGCCTTGCTCAAAAGTGCGGAGCTACGTTTTCGAGGACGTATCCCCAAAAGATGGATCGGGTAGATTACAGGCGGAAACGAACCGTGGAGTGGATTTCTCACAAGTGCGGAGAGGTCTCTCAAACGTACGAAGGTGCTGGCTCAAAAGTATAAATGGCGGATGTCTCAGGCGAGTCGATCTTTTGAGTACATGTTTCGAAAGTACGGAGGGGGGCGTTTGAAAGTCCGGATGGAGGAGCGCCGAACTCGGACCTCCAAAGATCAAGCAGGACCCCAAGCATATGTCCACAAGGTCACCCAACGGCTCTCTAAGCCAGAGTTCGGGCCCCCATTGACCCCCGAGGATCCCTGTCTCGAAGGTTCTCTGGGGCAGCTTCAGCGGAGGCGCCAGCGCGCTTCCGATCGCTAAGCCCAGGCCCGAGTTTTGGAACTCCGCGCCCCGCAACAAGGGGCCCCTGTTCTCACCAACAAGCGCGACTGCACGCGCCCGCTGACATCGCGCGATCACGAACACCGCGCGCGTCGCGCGACAGGCGGAGCATCGCGGAGGGCAGAGAAGGCGCGGGGGGCGCGGCCGCACGAGCGCGCGCGCCTGAGGCGCCCGCGGCGTCGCGGGGCCCCCGATTGCTGCTTCGACGAAGCCGAGGCCACAGCCAAGACGCTGCAAGTAAGGACCACTTGGGGCTCAGGATGGGGCTCCCGTTTTCGGGCCGCTCCGTAGGTCGAAGGAAACAGCTGCATACACAAACTTTCGGAGCTCCGCGCGGATCCCTTGCATCTGCGCCTGGCCCCCTTGGCGGCGCCCCTGACGCCGCCCTTGCTGCGCTCCGCTCGCCAGGGAGGCTGGCCCAGCGCAGATCCAAGACATCCGCGCGGAGCTCCGAAAGGTACCCATCGGTCGTTGAAAGTAGATCTTTTGGGATTCCCATAGTCCAATCTTCTTTAAGCGACTTCCTACTTCTATGATCGAGTGGCTTCACCTTATCCGTCCTCTTTAGGGGGCGGGCGGACACCCAATCTGCTTTCAGCGCCTTCCTACTTCACAGTTCTGCCTACTTCTTCCGACCGATGGGTATCGCGCATGCATGTCCTGGGTGCTGCCAGGGAAGCCGCCGCGCCCTCCCCGAGACCCGAAGGTGCCAGCGCCGAGCCACCACCTGGCACGTACGGCGCCGCCGGGGGCGACCTGCTGCGGGACCCGCGGAAGTGGATCGGCGGCACCGCCAGGCCGCCGCCATTGCAGCAGCGGCGGCGTCGACGCCGTCACGGCAACGTCCGCCGTCGTCGTCATCGTCGTCGTTCGTCGTCGTTGCTGGTCCGTCCCTCAAGAGGTCGGCGGCGAATTGTTTACCATGTTTCTGGATGCGTTCGGGCCCCAGGGTACTTTCCATCAGTCGCGCCTCGTCGAGAGGCGTCCAGGGGTGCCCAGATCTTCCCGAATGTCGCGCGAGGCCTGAGCAAAGCCGTTCCCACCGCCGCGATGGCGGCGACATCGCCGTCACGACGACGTGCGTCGTCGTCGACGTGGTCATCGCTCCTCCTCCGTCGTCGTCGTCGTCGTCGTCGTCGTCGTCATCCTGATAGGGACGACTGACTGTCAGCGGGAACGAGGACGGACGACGGCGGCGACGACGACGACGACCAAGGAGAAGGGGAGGACATTCCTTCTCCTGATCGTCCTGCTGCTTCTCCTTCTCCCACTTTTTGTTTCCCTCCTCGTGCTCCTCTCTCCTGCTCCCCTAACCTCCGACGGCTCTGATCTTTTCGAGTCGCTGGCCCCCGGGCCCTCGATTTCCTCCCCCTGGGCTCGCTTCTCTCCCCATGCTGTTTCTTGACAGTCCAGTGGCCCGAGCCTGGCGAAACACCGTCCGTCTCGGTCTTTCCTCGGCGGCGAGCGAGGGGGAAAGTGAGGCGGCGGGACTTCTCAGAAACCCTTCGGCCTTCTGAGAAGTTGTCTGCGTCTTTGGGGACGGCTTAGAGAATTTCTCAGAAGGCTGGATAACATTCGAGCCCTCTGAGAAGGCCCGCCCCTTCTCACTTCCCCCAAGGGCTCGCCGCCGAGTTCCTGATTGTGACGCTGTAGGTCTGGATGTTCCTCTTCGTCCTCCTCGCCCTTGCCCTCTCGGGAGCCCCCTGTCTAAGTCCTTCTCGTCCTCCTGCCACCTTCGACCCAGCCCGCCACTGTGTCTGGGCTCAGGGCCAGGCTCCGCTTGGGCAGCCCCAGGGGAGGAAGAGGAGGAGGAGGAGGAGGAGAAGGAAGAAGGGGGGACCGGGAAGAGGAGGAGGAGGAGGCGGAGGAGGAGGAGGAGCAGGAGGAGCGGGAAGAGGAGGAGGAGGAGGAGGAGGAGGAGGGGGGGGGGGGGGGGAAGGGGGGAGGAGGGGTGGGGGGGGGGGGGGGGGAACGGGTGAGGTAAAAAGGCTGGAGTGCAGGCGCAGCAGGCGCAGCAGGAGCAGCAGCAGCAGCAGCAGCAGGTGCAGGAGCAGGAGGAGCAGGAGGACGGGGGGGGGGAAGGAGGTAAAACGAGCGAGCGCGGTGGCGCGGTCGGGGCGGGGCGAAGACAGGCAGCCAGCGGTTGCTGCGAGCGCGTCGCAGGGGAAGCGCGCCGCGCCCCCCCGCCCCCGCGCCCCGCCGGGTCCTGGCAGGAGTAGGGCCGCGTTGCAGGGGGGGAGTGGGGGGCGCGCCGCTCCCGCCGCTCGCTTCGCCACCGCGTCCTAGCAGGGACAGTCGCGCACTGCAGGGGGCGGCGCGCCTCGCCCTCTCCTTTGCATCGCCGCGCCCTGGCAGGAGCAGGCCCGCATTGCAGGGGGAGGGGAGGGGGGGGATCGCCGCGCCCCCCCGTTCGCCTCGTCGCGTCTCAGCAGGCGCGGGCGCATTGCAGGAGGGCGCGCCGCGGCCCCCGCGGCCTCCTGCTTGCTTCGCCGCGCCCTGGCAGGAGCAGGCCGGCCGCGTCGTAGCACGCATAGCAAGCAATGCGGGAGGGCGCGTCGCGCCCCCCGCAGCTTGCCTCGCCGGGTCCTAGGAGAAGTTGGCATCGCTTCAGACGGGCGCGCTGCGACACCCCCCCCACAGCCCCCGATTTGACTCGGCGCCGCAGCAAGTGCACGGCAGCAGAGCATGGCGCGCGCGTGGCCCCCCCCCCGGGAATTGGCCCGCATTGCAGGGGGGGGCGCGCCGCCCTGCCCCTTTGCTTCCCAGGGATGGCGAGATCCCGTTTGGGTGCGCGTGGGACGCCTCCCGTCTTGGCCTAGACTCAACCTTCACGGAGTTGATTTTATCGCCCCTGCCCGTGTGTTGGAGCTGCCGCCCCCTCCTGCGGAGCAGTATCAACATGAGTGGATGTGGTGTGCCACTTTCTGGCGATGCAGCGTCTGTCTCCGTAGCCGCAGACAGTCTGTGAAGCCTGATCTTTCAGGGTGCTCGGGCCAGCTCCCTGACGTGGCCCTTTCCATACGGGATAAGGGCCACGTTATCACGGCCCTTCTCTGTTCGAATCAAAGCATGCTTTATTTTTGTCATCTCTGCTGCGGGTACAGCTGCGGTGGAAGATTCAAGAAGCTCAGTAAGTCTTGTATCCGAGAGCCCGAGGGACCCAGGAAGTCAAAGTACGCGTCCTCGGTCTTGAGGGCGCTGCGGAGGGGGAGACATCCCAGGCTGGCTGGAGTGTTTTGTGAAGTGTTTGACCCTGCCGCCGAAGCGAGCGAGTCTGAGGCTGGCGATCGGGCCGAGCCTGTCGGGTCTGCTCAGGCCCGCAGACAGCTTCGGGGGGAGGGTGAGCACGCTCCAGACCAGCAACCCCTTTCAGACAGCTCGGACTGACCGCATCAGGCGGGTAAACTAGTCCGAGTCTTTTCTTAACTCAACCCGAGCTGGCTCGGGTTCAGGGCGCTTGTCAAACAAATGGAACCTCGCTATCCCTGGGGGGTGGGGGGGGGGGGGGGGCGCGAAATGTGAAACTGTCGTCCGTTTCGAGGGCTGCTGGGGGAGCCAATATATTGATGTCCCCACGCGAACCCAAAATAGGACCTCTTGTCGCTACTTTCGAAGGCTGCTGGGGTGGCCAGCGCAGTGGGGCCCCACGCAGACCCAAACGGGACCTCGCCATCCGTGGGGGGCTGCGAAGTGTGGGATTGTCGTAACTTTCGATGGTTGCTGGGGGGCCAGCATGGTGGGGTCCCACGCGCACCCACACAGGACCTCGCCATCCCTGGGGGGGCTGCGAAATGTGAAAACTGTCCCCCAGGGATGGCGAGGTCCAGTTTGGTTTTGCGTGGGACCCCACTGTGCTCGCTCTCAAAGCAGCCATCGAAAGTGGCGACAGCTTCACATGTCGCAGTCCTTCATGGGATGGCGGAGTCCCGTTTGGGTTCGCGTGGGACCCCGTTCTGCTGCCCCCCCCAGCAGCCTTCGAAAATGACGACAGCTTCACACTTCGCAGCCCCCAGGGATGGCGAAGTCCCCTTTGGGTCTGCGTGGAACCCCAGTGCGCTGCCCCCCCCCCCCGCAGCAGGCAGCCCAGCAGGCAGGCGAGAAGGGGACAGAGCCAGAAGGAGAGCGGGGGGAGGAGGAGAGAGTTGGCGACCCCACTGCTGTATTCAAAACGAGAACCCAGCCAGGGGAAGTTATGGAACCAAAAACACCGCGTGAGCTTGGAATCTTAAGTGGGCCCGTAGCGGCGACCGATCGGGTTTCATAGTTCACATGGTGTACGGTATACGTTTTCTACTATAGCTGATACAAAAGATTCCACGCACGCGCGTGGTGAGTTCTGGGTTGTCCACAGTGAAAGGGTTGCAAATGTTGCCTGGAAGCTGAATCGATCCGTCGTGGTGACCGATCGGATTTCCACGTTCGCGTTGGTCCGGGCGCATGTTTTTACTCAGGGTCCTCCACGCGCGCGCATGGACAGCTTTGTATTGCCCACGCTGGGGAAGTACCAACGTTGGCTTGGAAACTGGGCCCCTAGCGGTGACCGACTTGCTTTCCCAGCGAACATGGCGTCTGGTGTTCGTGCGCGCGGGTGGGGTAAGGGGGGCGCAATGGTCGCAATTGGTCCGGGAGCTAACGTGGTCTCTTAGCGAGGCGAGGACGGGTTTGATTCAAATTTTGACGCGTGTTTTCGCACATCAACCAGGCGGCGCAGCACGATGCGCGTACGCGCGTGCGGCGTGCTGGTGGGTAGTGCTTACATTGGCAAAGGTCACCGTGTTGGTTTGGGAATTGAAGTGGTCTTCCGAGATAGCCGATTTAATTTCCAAGTTGACGTGCGGTTCCACGCGTTGGTCGCGCTGTGAAGCCCACGACGCGCGCGGGCGGGCGGCGAGTTCTATAACGCTCACGTTGGAAAAGTAACCATGGTGGCCTGGAAGTTCAAGCGAATCCTCAGCGGCAACCGATCGGATTTCCAAGTTAACATGAGACTTCATATGTCAATCGGCGGTACATCGCGCGACGCGTGTTTGTGGAGAGGTCTGTAGTGTGCACTTTAAAAATCCCACATTAAGATGTAACCTAAAGTGGTGCTTTAGCTGTCAACAGTCGGATCTCCAAGGCAACATGCTTTTTCGCATGTCAAGCTACGACGCGCGCGCGGGTGGCGAGTTTTGTAGGACACACATTAGAAACAGGTGACCATGTTGGCCTGGAAACTAACGTGTTCCCTTCGCTGTCAGCAATCGGAACACCAAGGCAACATGCGTCTCATGTCAACCGTTTGGTGCAGACTACGAGGCGCGCGCGCGCGGGTGGCGAGTTGCTTAAAGCTCACATGAGACAGGTGCCCATCGTTGGGCCGTTCTCGACGTGTTGTCCACATTCGTTTTTTTATGTAAGCCGGGCGGTGCAGCGCGCGACGCGCGCGGGTGGTGAGTGCTGTGGTGGTCACATTCGAAAATCGCCATGTTCGCAAGAGGATGGACAGGGTAGGGAGGGCAAAGGGGGGAGGCGGGAGAGAGGCGCGGGGAAGAGGAGGAGAAAGAGGACGAGGTCGAGGAGGAGGAGGGGGAGGAGGAGAAGGTGCGGAGGAGGTGCGGAGGAGGAGCTGGCGGCGGCCACGTCCTCCCCGTCGTCGTCTTCGTCGTCGGCGCCCCAGTCGTCCACACGGACGAGAGCGACGACGACGATGAAGAAGACGACGACGAAGGCACCGCCGCCGTGAGTTCTTACCGAGACATTTTGTAATCACCATCCTTCCCGCGCCGCCTCCCTTGTGGCACCGCGGGCGCACTCGGAGGAGGCGCGGGGGGAGGCAGGAGGAGGGAGGCAGGACTCTCGGCCCTCGGCCCGCGGTGGTCACCCTGCCGAGTCATCAACCCGCGACGCCCCCCCCGCCAGGGGGCGCGCGCTTGGGAGAGCCGCGGGCGAGCCGGGAGTCGCCAGAGGGGGCTTTTGACCAGTCCAGATCGGCACACGCACCGCTCCAAATTGTCAGCCCTCGCGCCCTCCCTGGCCTTCCAAACGGCCCAGGGGCCAGCCCGAAGGGTCCGCCGAGCTTGGCTCGCTGTTACGGGGTCCGCGGGGTCGGCGAACCGTATTTTCCATGGTTCACTTCCCCAATCAGTGCTTGCACTGAAGGGGTCCTAGCGGAAATTGAAATATTTGGCGCAAGTGTCCCGCCGAGTTTGGAGGCCGGCTGGGTTCCCGGGTTCCCGGTTCTGGGTTCCCGGGGTTCCTGGTCATTGGTTCCGGGCGGATTTCGATGGGTCCCGGGTTCCCGGGTTCCCGGTCGATCTCCTTCTGGATCAAACCATCCATTGATTCGGTTTTTTTTCTGATGACTTGTTCTTGAAATCTATTCACATTATGTTGGCACTTTGCCGTTTCAGACGCACGGTGGGATCGAGGAAAGGGGGAGTTGCGAAATCTGTTGCGTGGCCCCGCCGCGGGGCGCTGTCATCGATACCTTGGCATTTCCGGCGGCGGGGGGCGCCGGTGAAACCAGCCACACGAGCCGATTCGCTGACCCGCCCCCCTTGGATTTCCAACGTCGACGAGGACGGCGACGCCCACGACGACCAAGGCGGAGGGGGGGGCTTTACCTTATCCTGCCCGTCCTGCTGCTGTTCCTCTCTGGCTTACTCGTGCTCTCCCCTGTTCCCCTGACCTCCACCGGCTCTGATTGTTTCGAGTTGCCGGCCGTTGGAGCGTTCGATGTCCTCGATGCATTGGCGCCTGCGGCGCCGGGAGGCGCCAGGCGCGGGCTGATTCACGAATCCCTCCTCCTTCGCTACAGTCTAAGCCGATGATACATTTGCATCATTCCCTCTTCGGTCCATCCTTCACCACGTCGATGACCAGCCCCGCTCGAAGAGCTTCGACATGGGCGTCCAGGGGGCTTGCATCCGAATCATGCAGTATTATTGGTAGTATTATTAGCAGCAGCAGCATTCTTATGATGGTTATTCGTAGTATTAGTATTATTGTTGTGGGCTATACCCTCAGCCCCTGATCGTTCGACGCGGCATTTGGAAGCCTTCGTTGTTGAGGCGTTTCGTAATTCATGGCGGGCCGATAAATTGGTGCGGGGGTCGAGATCGAGGGCTGCAGGAAGGGGGCCCCTTCTGGGGCCCCCAAGCCGCAGGGAAGCTGCACCTTCCTTCGCCCCCCCGTTGGGTAGCACACCCCCGTCGATGAGCAACGCCCATCAATGTTTCTCTTTCGCCCGCGCTGCCAACGGCAGGTGGCTCGAGACCTCGGAGCACACGGACCCCGGCAGGCTGCTGAGCGCGCTCTGCGAGGACTTCAAGCCCAGGAGGCTGGCGGGGCGCGCTTCCCCCCGTCGGGAGCGACCGGCCCGCCCGCCGAGGAGGAGGGCCCGTGCTCGGCGCGAAGTAATCTTGGAGCCGGCTGGGAGTCTGAGGTGGCCCAGCACCGGTTCCAGCTCAGAGCCCCGAAGCATCAGGGGCAACTCGGGTCAGGGCTAGCTCAGGTTCGTTTTGGTCGGGATTCCGAACCCGAGTTGCCCCGGGCCCGGGTTACCCCGGATAACTCGGGCGTCCATGGAGCCCTGAGTCGTCAGGGGCAACTCGGGTCAGGGCTAGCTCGGGTTCGTTTTTTCGGGATTCCGAACCCGAGTTACCCTGGACCCGAGTTGCCCCGGATAATTCGCGCTCCCAACTGGCCAGCAGGAGGGGTGGGGGTCGGAGGTTGATAAACCTCCTACCCTGACACGTCGATTAGCGAATTGGCCGTTTTCGGTTCGCGAGAGGGCGTCGCGGCCGTCATTTCTGCGGAGTCCAGGCCGTCGGTTTCGGTCCCAGGCCGTTTTGACTAAAGGGTTGGGAGGTCTGTCCACCGCCGAGGGGGGGGGGCAGGTTCGAGGTTCTGGGTCGGGAAGGTGCTCAGCCTTCTCCTCGGCCTCGAGGGGCCGTGTTCGGACCCTGCAGGAAGACGGATCCGGGAGAACAGTTGCGCCAGACGGACCCCAGGAGGGGTCCCAGAACTGTTTTTTAATCAGATTTGGCCCCTTCCCCCCTGACTGACTTTCTTCGGGGGTGGACAGAACCCTCACCCTGACACGTCGATTAGTGATTTGTCCGTTTTCGGTTCTCGCGAGGGCGCCGCGGCCGTCATTTTCCAGGCTTGCGCCCGCCAGGTTTGGGCCCGAGGTCGTGTTCACTAAACCACGTTCTGCTAAAGGGGGTTCTGTCCATCCCCGAATTCTGGAGTCTGAACGAGCTCAGGCCCCTGGCCGCCTCCAGCGAGGATCGAGGACCGTTGTTCGGAGGAGGGCCAGTGGAGCACAGCGACCCTGCTTGGTTTTTTTGTTGCTCCCACCTAGGCCCTCCCGGAGGCTCGTCGTCGCCCCGGCTGGATATCCGCCTCGGCAAAGACGAGTCCCGACCGATGTTGCACCGGTTTGGGCTGGGCGGGATGGGCGCCGTGGTCTGAAGTGGCCCTCCTGATGGGCGTCTCCGACATCCCTGGGCTGCTTTTCAAGCCGCCGGGCACCGTCTCCGCCAGAGGGCCCGCCCGTCAGGGTCCGCCGGCCCAGCTTGCTTGCCTGAGCCTGCCAGGGGTCACCAAATGGGCTGGCACGCGGGCAATGGGGAGCAGTCTTCCCATGCTGGCGGCTGTTGTCCTCTTTCTCCTCCCCCCCTCCTGTGATTCGCCCCCCTCGTTTGTATATGTCTCGCATTGCCCGGTGATGAACACTTGTCTGCGTGTGGCCGGCTCCGCCGCTCGCCCTGCTGATTACTTCCGCCCGGAGGGCGATGCAGCGCGAGCTTGGGCGTCGGCCGTGCGATCGTCGTACACGTGAGTAGTGCATGTTTCCCATCTCGGCTAGCGCACCGTTTGGTGCAAGGCTTCTGACTGACTGTCGCATTGCATGTGTCCAGACACACCAGAATCCAGAGGCCACGGCCTCATCCACCTGGTCTGAGCCAGGCCCGGACGCTTGTCCGCAGTGGTGGTGGTGGTGGTGGTGGTGGTGGTGGTGGTTCTCCTCCTCCTCCTCCTCCTCCTCCTCCTCCTCCTCCTCCTCCTCCTCCTCCTCCTCCTCCTCCTCCTCCTCCCTCCTCCCTCCTCCCCTCCTCCCTCCTCCCTCCCTCCTCCCTCCTCCTCCTCCCTCCTCCCTCCTCCCTCCTCCCCCTCCTCCCTCCTCCTCCTCCTCCTCCTCTCCTCCTCCCTCTCCTCCTCCTCCTCCTCCTCCTCTCCTTCCTCCTCCTCCTCCTCCTCCTCCACCTCCTCCTCCTCCTCCTCCTCCTCCTCCTCCTCCTCCTCCTCCTGGGCGCTGCATAGGAGGCGGACACGATGTCTCCGCCCCAGCGCTGGGCCGCTGCCTCAGCGCGGTGACTTCCTGACACCACGCGAGACAGCGGCAGGGTGGGGCATTGCCCACCCCGCGGCCGCCTGGAGCAGGCGGCCGCAGCCGAGGGGGCCCGAGAGGGGGGGGGAGGGGGGAAGAAGAGAAAAGAAGCGAAAAAGAAGAGGCGCCCGGCTCACCACGTGGAGCATCAGGAGCTCCACCAACCCGCCGGAGGCGGGCGGCCCCCATGCCTCCCTGGTTCTTCCTGCACCAGGGGACACAGGCTACCCCACGTCACCGTGCGGGGCACACGGCGCGTGTTACCGCGCATGGGTAGCCAGGCCTGCTCCCCCAGTCCCCTTGCCCAAGGGGGACAGAGCAGGACTCCCCACGAGCCTGGCCGAAGCCAGACCCCCCCTCCACACCCAGGCGCGACCGGGGAGCCGCCAGGCCAAGACAGTGGAGGGGACCCGATTCGGCCGCAGCCGAATCGGGATTACCGTTTAGGTCCGACGACCGGGGTCGGTGCCCCCACTGCCGAACACACCCATCCACCCACGGCAATGCCGTGAGTGGGTGGGTGGTTTCGGCAGTGGCGCAGCCCCCATACAGGCCACGACTAAGCGGGTTTCAGTTCCCCCGGACGCCGGGAGGTGCCGCCCACACCAACCGGCTGCCCGCCCGGGGGCTCCTCCTCCTCCTCCTCTCCTCCTCCTCCTCCTCCTCCTCCTCCTCCTCCTCCTCCTCCTCCTCCTCCTCCTCCTCCTCCTCCTCCTCCTCCTCTCCTCCTCCTCCTCCTCCTCCTCCGCATCATCATTATCCTCTTCGCCTTCGGGGCAGCACGCTCCCGTCCTGCGAGGCTGAAGGCGCCGCTGGTCCTCTGCTGGCTGGTCCTGCAGGCCACGGGCCTGCTCTACCAGGCCAGTCCTTTCTCGGAGGGGTGGGGGTCGCGGTCCTTCCCTAAGGTGAGGAAAGCTGAGGTGATGGGAGGTGTCCTCCCCCTGGATGAGGGAAGGGGAGGGTTCCTTCCCTGGGTAAGGAAAGGTAAGGAAAGGGGAGGTTTTTCCTTCTCTGGGTCAGGAAAGGGGAGGGTCATGGACAACGTTGGGGGGTGTTAGGCTCGGGGGGGGGGATGCCTCGACCCCCAATCGCCCATGCATCGCCGACAGGGGCCCGATGGTCCCGCCCCGCCCAGGCACGTGCGGATTCGCAATCGGAAGCCTGTCGCCCTGTCTGTCGGCGGCGTATCGCCGATTCCACAGGTCGATGTTCCCCCCCCCACCCAGAGCCGGTCCCCCCCCTATCGTTGCTCCTCAGGGGGGGAGGATTCGGATTCACATTCGGATTCGGAACGCGTGCGAAGCAAGAGATGACATAACTACTTCGGGAGGAGACCACGCTCGAAACGAGACAGCCACTCCCTCCGCCCGTTGGTGATGCGAGAGGGTGGAGGGGGGAAGGGACGACGGAGGAGAAGGAGAGGCGGGAGGAGGGACCAGGGCAGTTGGGCCAGCAGAGGCCACTAGGAACCACTAGGAACTTTTCAGAAGGGCCAGAAATGCTCACAAGTCTGGCACTCCAAGACGGTCCAAGAGGGTTCCAAGAGAACCCTCGGGAGGGACTCGAGAGGCAAAGTACATGTCTGTTCCTTAGAATTGGGACCGGCTTGCAGTTCTCGTTTTCTCGGGCTTCCGACACCCCAATACAGCCCCAAATGCATTCAAGGTGGCCGCAAGACAAATTTGCAAGCAGGTGGGGCGGCGGGTCCGGTGGCCTTATGCCCATCCCGGCCACGGACAAGAGGCCTCGCAGAAGCCTCGTAGGGGGGCTCTGACAAGGCATCTTATGGAAGCCTCCTGGGGGCCTCTTGAAGATCTCTTGGGGGCCTCTTGGAGCTGCCTTGGAGACCTAATTTTTAGTGCCTCCTCAGGGCATTCCTGGGGCATCTTGGCCTGCTGGCAGTCTCGGGAGCCATTTTGGAGGCATGAGCTCGAAATGCCAGCCCCCCCCTCTTGGGGACGTCTTTTCGGCCTTCTGGGGCCCTCTTGGGGACATCGGGCCGTCTCGGACGCTCCTCCGACCGAAACTGCCAGACTGCGAGAGAGCCGTTGGGCCCGGCTCGCCCCCACGGCAAGACGGCCGAAGTTGCCACCGAGAGGGCTCCAGACGGGCCATGTTACCATCGTAGGCCATGTCAGAATGCACCCTGGGTTCCTTAACAAGCGTAGGGGGGTACCCCCCCGACGGGGGATCAACCTCGCCTCGTCGTCGCGCCGCGGCGGGGTTCCGGGCGCCTCCGGCGCGCGGTGGCTGCCCGCGACGGGGTCGATGCGGGGCTGTCGGCGGGGGTTACGCCCCCCCCCGACGCTTATTAAGAAACTCGGAGTATGCCTGGGCCCCTGACAGTGTTTACGATACAGGGAACTCGAAGGGACCAGAGTGGCCCGACGTCAGATCTTGCAAGCAGTTACACGTTAGACGGTATCATGTGGGCCAGTTGTGTTGATTATGTGTCTCGCACTCGTGTTGCGCACATTTGACTTACAAGTTCGCAGCAGCTGTGCGAGTGGAAGCGGGGTTCTTCTTCATACAGGGCTCTCGGCTGAGATGGTCCCTCGGCTTCATTATCCGAAGCTGTGTGTGTGTGTGCGCATGTCAGCGTCCAGGAGGTGAAGGGCAGCTCTTCTGCAAAGTGGTGAGACACTTGCATGTGTTGTGATCCGAAGTCTAGAGCTTGCAGCAGCCATGCGTACGGATGGAAGCCTCGTTCTTCCCTCCCCCGCTGCATTGTTGTGCTCGTTGTCTTACTCCCTCCCTCCCCTTGCCCCCCCTCCTTCCCAAAACAAACTGCCATCGACGACGTGTGTCTCTGAGTCTCGGCGCCTTGTTGTCGGCGTTGCGAGCTGTGTGGCGGGGGTTGGACACGGTGCACATCACCCGCGGGATAGCAGAATGCCGCCCTCTCCGCAGTGCCACGCACATTTGTCTCTGAAGGCCCACTGTGGCGCGGAGCGTGGCGCACACCTCCGGTCGTCAATTCGTCGGCGGCGGGATGGCGCATTATCGAGCGAATTGTGCCTTTCAAACGCCGCGAGTGGGGGAGGGGGGATGGGCACTCATGTACTTGGCCTGGTGCGTAAGCCGCTTGGGGGGCCCCCGATTCCTCTCCTCCCCCACGTCTTTTAGCTCCAGACTGGATGGGTATGGCGGCCTTTCGGCCTTCAAAGGCTTCAAAGCTTTTTTGCGATTCCTCCTCCTCCTCCTCCTCCTCCTCCTCCTCCTCCTCCTCCTCGTCGTCGTCGTCGTCGTCGTCGTCCCCCTCCTCCTTGGCCTGCCCGTCCTTTTCTTCTGTCGTCCTCAATTTCCCCCTAGCCTCTCCCCCTCTCCTTCCCCCTCTCCCTCTTCTCCTCGGCCTCGTGCGCCGCTCCCCGCCCTCCTCTGGAGACCCCCCTCTCCTCGCCCCACGCCTCCCCTCCCCCGCGGAGCGCGGGCAGTGCCCGACCCCTCTCTCCGGCGCGCGCCCGCGCGCGACGCCGAGGGCGTGCTCCTCTCGGAGGTCTCGACCAACCTGGGGGTCTACGAGGCGGCCCCGCGGGGACCCCCCCCCCGGGCAGGGCTCCTCTCGGGCGTTGCTGGAGGTACCCCTGGCTCAAGGTCCCCCCGGGACTCTCGGGGTGGCCCGAAATGGCCTCCGGGGCACCCCTCGCGAGGCCCAGAGGGCCTCTGGGGCTCCAAAGTGGAACGAAAAGCTGGGGGCACCTCGGGCCAGGGGCGCTTCTAGCAACACCCGATTGTCATCTCGACTCCTCCGGCCGGATTCGATTCCGTTTCGATGGCTTCTGGCTCTGGTATATGCGGTTCGAGCTCGGCTTCCGGCTCGGAGTCCAGCTTCTCAATGGATGCCTCACCAATTATAGACCGCCGAGTTCCGCCGATTCGGCTTGTCCCGACTTGGCTGCCGATTTCCGCCGATCCGATTCACTTCGATCGCCGACCCGACCGACTTCTCGATTCGACCCTGGATTCTCCTGCCCCCGCCGGCCCCTCCAACGCCGCCCCCTGAGGGGGGGGTCCGGCGCCGACCGTTGAAGTCCGCGCGGACCTCCGGAAGTTTGTGTGTTGCGTTTATGTTGTGTTGGCTTCGAAAGGTCTCGAGGTCCGCTCGTCGTGCTCCTCGCCGCCTCTTCACGGTGCTCCCTCATCCTCGGCCTCTTCTTTCCTCCTCCTGGACTCCCCTTCCTCGCTTCGTCTGGCGGGGGACTCAGAAGGAAGAGGTCGAGGGAGGGAAGGGGGAGCAGGGGGGAGGGGCGAGCAGGGGAGGGGAGCCGCATATGCGGAGCAGGCAGCTAGCGCGCGAGGCAAGACCGCGGAAGAGCGAGGAGAAGGGGGCGAAGGGCGGGGCACGCGGGATATGCAGGGAGGTGCCGGCGGCGGCGCTGGTGGCGGCGGCGGCTCTGCTCCCCCCCGGGTCTCCGACAGTGTGCCAGCGTTTTTCGTAGACAAGGGCGCCCTCGAGGGCGCGAAGTTATTCGCGCTTCTCGCTTCGCGGTTCGGCTCCGATTCCTCCTCATCCTCCTCTTCTCCCCCGGGAGGCGGCGCGAGAGCGCGAAGTGATTCGCACTTCGCGCTTCGCGCAGCGCGAAGCGCGAAGCGCGAAGTTGGGAGCCCTTGGTAGAGTTCGGCCTCTGGTCGGAGGTGGATAGACCTCCTACCCTGACACGTCGACTAGCGAATTGGCCGTTTTCGGTTCGTGAGAGGGCGTCGCGGCCGTCATTTCTGAGGGTCCAGGTCCGTCGGTTTCGGTCCCAGGCCGTTTTCACTAAAGGTTGGTTTACGAAAGGGAAGTTTGTCCACCGCCGATATCGGGCCCCTGGGCCATCAAAGCTGGATCTGGGACGGAAAGCTACTCCTGGAAAGCAGCTCCCGGGGTAGGGGTCGGGATCCATGTGGCCGCGCATTGGCGAACAAAAAGAACCGTCGGACATTTGGGCTCAGGGCTATAGCGGTGGCGCGCAATCGTCGTCGCTCCTCGCTGGTCCCTTGGCACAGGTGCCTGTCGTCATTCGTCGCCGTCGCTGGCACCACCTTCCCCTTCCTCCGCTTCCTCGTCCCCGTCGAGGAGCCACTCTTCCCCCCTTCCTTCCCGAGGCGGCCCCGAGGATTGAGGGTCGTGGACGCTTTGGGGCGGGGGGTGGGGGCTTGTGATCCTCTCTGGGCCCCCAGAGGGGTCTGGAGACTCTTGGAGACCTTCGGGGCACTCCTCCCCTGCCTCGAGGTGTCCCCGCCCTCGCCCACCACTCGGTTGCGAGCCCAGGAGGGGAAGCGAGCGGGGGCAGGCCTTCTCAGAAGGCGGCGGGGCTTCTCGGAAGCCCTCGCGTCTTCTCGGAAGCTCCCTAGGCCTTCTCCGAAGACGGAGACGGTGTCGCAGAAGGGAAGTGTTTCAGGCCTTCTCCGAAGACAGAGACGGCTTCTCGGAAGGCCAGGGGGCCCCCGAGAAGCCTGGCCGCCTTCTGCGGAGGCATTGGCCCCTCTCGCTTCCCCCCCTGGGCTCGCCGCGGAGCCGCTTCTCCTCACCGGCCAGCCAGGAGATGCTGGCGACGTACTGCGGCGCCCCGAGGGGGGGGAAATGCGAACATCTCCCAGCGCGACTCCTTGCCACGGCGGATCTCCGACGCGGAGGGCATTCTGGAGCGGCGGCGGGAGGGGGAGCGGAGCGGAGGAGGGCGACGAGGATGAGGTGGAGGCCAGGGGCTCTCGTTGAAGATTTTTGCAAGTCCTTCGGGCCAGTGCCGCCGATCCGGGGCGCTCCCGCTGGTGCTCGGGTTCGCTTGGAGGCCTCCGTGGCCGTCTTGGGGCTCTCTCAGGGCCGTCGAAGGAGGAGGCCTCGAGGGGGTCTCTGAGCCTCCTCGGGGCTTATTGGAAGCCTTTTTGGCTGTCTGAGGGCGTTCATGGCCCGTCGGACGCCGTCGGAGGCCGTCTTGGGCGCCTCGCTGTGCCGTCTGGGAGCACCTTGGAGGCGGTTCGGGGCCGTCTTGGAGGCTGTATCGGCCGTCTTGGGCGCCTATGGGGCCATCTGGGAACCCTCTTGGGGCCGTCTTAGGAGCCACCTGGGTCGTCATAGGGCCATCTTGAAAGCCTCTGGGACGATCTTGGGGGCCCCTGGGTCCGTCGGAAGGGCGAAGAGACTGAAGCGCCAAAATCCTTCAAAAGCACGTAGAGAATCAATGATTGGGGCCTCTCCAGGTCTTTAGGAAGGGCATCCTGGGCCGTCTTGGGTGCACCTTGGGCCGTCTGGGAAATATCTTGCGGCCATCTCGGGATCTCTGGCCTCCGGGATGGTCATCTGGCGGACGGTTACGTGTCCCAGCCCCGCCCAGAAAACGGAGCACAGGCGGAGAAGGGACCCCCCCCTGCCCCGGCGGAGACCCCCGGCCCCCCCCCCAGCAGAGCTGAAGCTCAGACTGTGGCTGCAGCTTAGGCTCTTTGAAACTCACACGCCAGATCGGTGGACTCGGATGGTATTTCAGAGTGGCGGCGGGAAGGGGAGCGAGCGGAGGAGGACGACGAGGATGAGGTGGAGGCTGGGGGTTCTCGAAGAAGATTGCCCTAAGCCTCCCAGGTGGGTTCAGAGCAGATCGGGCCGGAAGCATCGCCGATGCGGCTCGATGTGGAGCCCCGATGTTCTCCACGTCGACGTCGCCGATGCATCGGCGATGCGTCCCGATCCTTCGACCCCATCTACTCGGACCCCATCTGTCAAGCAGTGGCGAAGCGTCCTGGCTCGCTTGTCGGCCTGCCAAGGGATGTTCTAAGAGTCATGTTTGGAACATTCGTGGTAGGCCTACAGGACTGCCAAAGCGTCGGTCCCTGCGCAATTTTGGGAGGCCTCTATCTATGCGTCGGCCGTTGAAAGTCTATATTGTTTGACTATAAATAAGGTCACAGTGTGTTCAAGGCGCCTTCTTGTTTCTGCATCGCCGTTCTGGTCGATTGTTCTACACACTTCTTACGATCGATGGGCACACACAACGTAAACATGTTTCGAGGTCCGCGCAGGTTTCTTGGACCCATCAAGGAGACCCGCACGGTCCTCCGAAAGGATGTGTTGATACAATGTGTTGGTCGCATTTGTTCTCCGTGTAGCACCTCAGCGTGCCAGATGAAGGCAGCTCCATTACCATATTGTGATTGCTGGGGGCGCCAGGGGAGGGGGCCGAAGGAGAGTAGGATCAGATGGAGGTGAGGAGAATGATGACGTAGAGGAGGAGGAGGAGGAGGAGGAGGAGGAGGAGGAGGAAGGAGAAAGGGGGGAGAGAACTGGAGGAGGAGACTGTCGCACTGCTGGGAAGAATCAGGCAGAGCAGGAGGAACACACACCACGCAAAAGGAACAAGAAAGGAGGAGAGGGAGGAGCAACACAGAAGGAGAGCGATATCTTTCCCAATACGTTGCAGCAGAGGTCCCGGCCCTCTCCCCCAGGGGTGATGTTCCGTGCCAGATCCGCTCTTGACGACCCCGGGGTCTGATGACGGGCCTCAGAGACCGAGATCGAAGAAAAAAGCCGCAATCGAACAAAAGACACGTCGACGAAGACTTGGGGTAGAGGGGGGAGGAGGAACAAGCAGAGGGGAGAAGGAGGGATCCTGGCAAGCCCCGGACCCGTACCATGAAGTAGGGAGTTCGAGTGTCGGGGCGGGTTGGAGCCCCTGCTGTCATCTCCTTTTGCCGGTTCTTCCTTGGAATCGGCTACTACCAAAATTTACGCGACGCAAGCAAACTGGGCCGACTCCGCGGGCATTCGCGCGTAAGGTTTCTGCGTAAGTTCGCGCGTAGCACTCTTCTACACGCGGTGTGCCAGGGCGGGGGGAGAGCGCTTCTGGCGGCGAGAGATTTGTGATTCTTCCCCCGAGACTGCGGCAGCTACGGAGCTGCGGCGTTTCAACTGTCTGTTGTCTGCGATGCGTCGCGTGATGTCGAGAAACGTAGCTCCGGCGGTGCTGAGCCGCTCGAGCATGTACTGCTCTTGGCCCCAGCGGTGTGGGACCCACAGCACGGGAAGCTCTGCGAGTCATTCTGTAGCTCCTGCTGCTCAGCTCGGAGGAAAGCCGATGCACGAGCCGTTGTCCGTTGCAAGCCGCGAGGGGTCTTGGCCCAGTCTCGGCCGCCCCACGTCGCTGGCAACGCGGTGCCACTTGGGTTCCCAAAGGAGCACCGGATGCCTCCCATGCATCCTCATGGTGCGAGGATGCCCCTGCAACGCGGCTGGTCCCGACCGCGGTTGCCCTTCTGCTCTTTCATACCCCGTGAGGCGTCGGAGGGCAACGGAGCCCTGGCGCGTTCCTCCTGCCCTCATCCATCATTTGAATCCTCCGTCCCCCGCACCCCTGACCCTCACTGTCCGAAGGGTTCTTTTCTATACAGCTCTTGTGCCCACATTGCACCATCGCTATGATCACGAACTTTGGTTGGCGCGTCGCTCTGCCGGATCTGGCCCACCACGCTTCGGCGCGACACGCTATCCACGTCCAAGTCCCCAGGCGTCCATGCCCCGAGCTCGCAGCCTCCCGCCCCGCGGAGCGGAGCGACACGCCTATCAGCTCGCAGGGTACTGCGTACTGCCAGGGCCGCCGCTGCGTCACGCTGAGCAGAAGCTCCCGACCGTACTCGGCTACTCGCAGGAGTGGCCCCTCGCTGGACGCCGGAGTGACCGTTGGTGCGGGCCCGCAGTGGTCCCCACAGCACCGGCCTGCACGCTTGGATTTGGAGGAGGAGGAGGGAGGAGGAGGGAGGAAGAGGGAGGAGGAGGGAGGAGGAGGAGGGAGGAGGAGGGAGGAGGAGGGAGGAGGGAGGAGGGAGGAGGAGGAGGAGGCGGAGGAGGCTGCTGTGCTCCGCCCCCCCGCGGCCCTCGGTCCAGGCCCCGAGCACCGGCAGCACGGCGTGTGCCTGGGGCCGTCCTGGAACATGAGTTTCTCCGGCGTGCTGAACTTCCCCCCGGCCCAGGGCCCCCCGGGGGCGGCATCGGGCGTTGCGTAAGGGGGGGGGGCGATGAGTTCGGGGGGATGCACGTTCGTCACCTCTGGTACCCTAAAGGTGATCGATCGTTTGTCGAATCCTTGTTTTGCCGATCGGCGCGGGCCCTCGCACCCCCCCTTCCCCCTCCCCCCCATGGAGTGGATCTTGGCTGTTTCTTTTTGGCGCCTGTTGCGAGCGGATGGGGTGGGGCCAGAAAGGGGCACGACGTTTCTCCATCCCTATTGATCGCCCCCCACGAAGCAACGCCTGGCGGCAGGGAGGGAGGGACCCAGATCAGTGGATACGGTATTTGTGTCGGTTGCGACTGGTAGCGACCGATCGTCACTCCAAATCGGTCGCGACAGATTTTGAAGCAAACCGGTCGCGATCGATAGCAGAATCTGAAGCAACATCGGTAGCGATTGATATCGGGTCGCGACCAGAAAGTTCTGACATCCAACGATCAGGGGAGGGAGGGAGGGAGGAAGGAGATTCGAGGTTCTCGTTTGACAGGGGTCGCGACGGAAGGTTTTTGGTTTTTTTCGGGATCGGGAAGCCCTCGCTGGGCCCCAGGGCCGTCATAGAACGATTCGGAATGAAGAACCAGCCCTGGAGAAGGGGTCGGGACTTCGGGGATCACTGACCCTCTCCTGGTGTGGATGGGTCAGGGGCAACGTTGGGGCGGGACAGGCTGAGGGGGGGATGCATGAAGGTTTCGAGGTTTTCGGGCGTTTTCGTTGGTCCTCGGCGGTTTTCCATGTTCGGGGTTGTTTCCAGCAACTGCGCCTCGCCAGAAGCGTTCTGGGGGATCAACGATCGTCCCGAAAGGCGTCCAGAGAGCTTAACCATGGCCCGAAAACCTTAAGGTGGAAGGGTCAGGGGCAACGTCAGTCGGAGAAGAGAAGAAGTGCACACACACACACACACACATACTTTCTCAGAGCTCCGCGCAGATTTCTTGGATCGGCGCTGGCTCCCTGGCGGAGCCTCCAGCGCCGCCCCTGGCGCGTTCCTCTCCTCTTCTCAGCTGTCCTGGTCGCGTGGCCAATAGGTGGTCGTTTTTTATTCCTTGTTTTGCCGATCGGCGCGGGCCCTCGCACCCCCCGTGACCCCCTACGGAGTAGATCTTGGCTGCTTGGGGCGCCTGTTTCGAGCCAGTGGAGTCTCCCCCAGAATGGACGCACGGTTCCAAACAGTCGCACTCAGCAGAGGTCCAGAGCCAGACCCCCCCCCTTCCCCCCCCTTCTGCCCAATGTCGAAACGCCGAAAAACATAACAACGTTTACTAAATTGTTTCGCCCTCTACTTCGTTTCCTTCTCTTCTTCTCTTCTCCGCTGTCCCGGCTGCTGCCGCCTTTTGCTTACTTTCTCATGAGGCCAGTCGGCAATATTGCGTTTGCAAGTTTCGACGCGCGCAAGCTCATTTTTCAGTCGTTTGCAGGGGGGACATTTGCATGCCGTGTTCAGCCTGAGCTCAACCGTTTGTTCTTGGTTTGCAGGTGTTCGCCGCGAAACGGCTGCGTGTTGCTATAGTGTCGTGGGCTCCGCGAGACCAGCGCATAGGCGGGAGCGCCCCCCCCCCCCCCCCCCGAGGCGGAAAATTGAACAACAAACATGCCGTCGAGATTACTGAAACGAGGCGAGAGGGCCTGGGTCTTGATCCCTTCGAGACGTGGGGAGGTTCGGCGGACGCGCTCGCCCAGGGCAGCGCACACCCAGGCCGGGCAGGGCCATGTTGAGCACACGGGCTGGCCAAGAAGCAGTTTCCAAGCCCGGGTCAGCGGAGGGGAGGGGTAGGGGGGGGGCGGCTTCACATGGCTCCCAGGCCCGAGTCAGCCAAAGGGGATCGCGGAGGGAATGGCTGACACCCATTCATTCATGCGCCCCAGCAGGTCTGGAGAGCCAGGGATCCGATGATGTGATCTTCAGTTCGCGGAATCCCGAGAGGGCTGGACCCCTGACCAGAATCTCGAGGCGATCTGTGGTTGTTGACGTTCTGGGCGCTTGTTTATAAGAAGCAGTTCTTCCGTGTTGTCAATCGGCGAGGTGGACTTCACAACGATAAAGCATTGTACCAAACCAGAAGGCTTGTCGGGCTGTTTTCGAGGCTGTTAAGTTTTTTGTTGTCTTGGGGTCAATTGCGACCATGTTGGGTTTCTCGTGGGCCCCAGTTGGGCTTCTTCGGGGCTCTCGTTGGCCCCATTGGGCGATTTGATCTTCTGGGCAGCATCGAGCATGGAGGGATGAGAGTGGAGGGGACAGGGTGGAGGAATGGAGGGAAGGAGGGAGGGCGGGCCAGAAGAGGATGGAGGAGCGAGGATGAAGGAGGGGAGGGAGGGGAGGGACGAGGAAGAGGAGGAATTGGAGGAGGAGGAGGAGGAGGAGCAGCAGGAGGAGGAGAACGAGGACGGGGAGGCGGACAAGATCCGCAGCTGCTCTGGCCCAAGCGCCCTCTTCCCTCCACGCCCGTGGCGCTCCTTGTGGCCCCGTCGCCGCGCGCTCGCTCGTCGCGGGGCCAACGGAGAAAGAAACCACTGGGGGTCCTGGCCCGCTCCGTGGGCTTCGTCGCCGCCATTGGGATGACTTGGTCGCCCTCTCCGCAATCTCCCCCAACGGCAGAAGACTGTTCCCTAAATCGCCCCCCCTCCCACCCCCCAGCCCACCCCACACTCTTGTCCTTTGTCGCTAGCCTGCAACACATTCTCCCCACCCTGCCACGACGTCGGAGCTCCGTCGGGTCGGGCGGAAATGGCGGACCGAGGGCAACGGGGGACCACGGAACCCACTGCGTGCAGCTGGTGTCGGCCCCGCCGCCAGGCGCCTCTCCTCGACACAGCCGGGGCGCAGAAATGAGGACCACTCCGGGCGCAGGAGGGGCTCCGGATGCTGGGCAGCTCCTGAGATCCAGGTCGCGGAAGTATTCTTGGCCGAGGCTCGCGGTGGCCAGAGAAGCCCTTTTTCGCGCCTTCTTCGGCGGTCCTTGTGATAGCACGAGGACTGCACCCCATGGTAGCACGAGGACTGTACGCAGGCGCCTGCCAGCGCCAGGAGGCGCCCGAAAAACCAGCTGCGTGAGCTGATTCGCTACCCCCCTCTGCTGCTATCCCCCCTCTTCTCGCCCGACCCGGCAGAGGTCCCGACCCCTTCTCCCGAGGGCAGTTCTGCGCCCCGGATGTACTCCTGGTGCCCCCCTCAGGACCCGATGGTTCGAGGCCTCTTAGACAGGGTCAGAGTAGATGGGGTCGGAGAGTCGTGCCGCATCGCCGATGCATCAGCGATGCATCGGCGATGCGGCCCGATGTGGGGCCCAACGTTATTCACGCCGACGTCGCCGATTCATCGCCAATGTATCGGCGATGCGGCGAGATCCTCCGACCCCAGCTACTCGGATCCCATCTAGCAGGCCTCTGATGAAATACGCACGGGATTAAAAACCATCTCGTCGGAGATCTGGATCTCCCCCGCGTGCACCCGACCCGGCTCTGGGGCCCTTCCCTCCCTGGCGCGAGCCCCTCCCCGCGGGGCATCCTCGCCCCCCCCCGACCGCCGGGAGGCGGGGACGGCAGCGGGGACTTCGATTTCGTCATCCCGAGCGACCAGTCGTGCCCCCAGGGGAAGGAGGAGGAGGAGGAGGAGGAGGAGGAGGAGGAGGAGGAGGAGTAAGAGGCGGAGGAGGAAGAGGAGGAGGAGGAGGACGACGAGGAGGAGGAGGAGGAGGAGGAGGAGGACGAGGAGGACGAGGAGGACGAGGAGCAGGAGCAGGAGCAGGAGCAGGAGCAGGAGCAGGAGCAGGAGCAGGAGCAGGAGCAGGAGGGGAGGAGGAGGAGGGACGATGACGAATGATGGAGGAGGAGGAGGAGGACGACGACGACGACGACGACGAGGAGGATGACGAGGAGAGTAGAGGATAAGCAGGGGGGCGGAGTGTCGCAGCAGCGGGGCCGCGCGAGGTCTTTCGACGATTCTCGTATGGCATTCGGTGACTTGGGGAGCCTGGGAAGGTTAACCGCTACCCCGTGAGAATAAACACTAGGGGATAATAAAGTTCGGGGTTCAGGGGGAGATAATCAAAGTAGCCCAACAGACCTCAGCAGAATCTCGAAGTAAGAGATGATCAAGAGGAGACCAAGCCGAGCACGTTTTGAGACATCCTTGGCGTTTAGTCTTCATAGAAATATCCTCAACAATGGCTTATCTCGCTGGAGACATCCTCGACCAATCCCTTGTTTCGCTTGCGACATCCACAAACTGTTGCTTATTTCGCTTGAGACACCGTCAAACTATTGCTTATTTCGCTTAAGAAACGTATCGTTTCGCTTGAGACATCCTTCAGTATATGCTTGTTTCGCTTGAGACATCCTCGAGTATATGCTTGTTTCGCTTGAGACATCCTCGGGATAGCTCATCCGCCTCGGTGTCCCTGGATAATCAACCGCGGCGATAATAAAGTTCAGGCGGGCGGAGGAATGGATAAAGCGATATACACAAGCAAAAATAAAAAGAAACAATAATACCTGAGAAAGAAAAAAGGAAAACATCAAACAGAAAAGAAAACAGAGGAGGAGGAGAAAGAGAAGGAAAAATCTCAAGTTCAAATGTATTAGATTTTATTTACAAGCGCTTTATGACAATTAAAATTTTTAAGTGCTCGTGTAGGGGGTAGCTCATGTGCTTCATTTTCCATGGATAATCAACCCCAGGGATACAAAAAAAAAAGTTCAGAGGGGGGGCATGGAGAGAGAGAGAGAGAGAGAGAGAGAGAAAGAGAGAGAGAGAGAGAGAGAAAGAGAGAGATACATCATACAGAAAAAGAAAGGAAGGACTTAAAGAGAGAATATATATTTGAAAAGAAAAGTAGAATAATAAATGAAAAGGATAAAGAGAAGAGGAAAGGAGGATACAACAAAAAATCTGAGGATTCAAATGTATTAAATTTTATTTACAAGCGCTTTATGAAAATTAAATGTTTTAAGTGCTCGTGTAGGGTAGCTCACGTGCCTCGCTTTCCCTGGATAATCAACCCCAGCGATAAACAAGTTCAGGGCGCCAGGGGGAGGAGGAGGAGAAAGAGATAGAGAGACAGAGAGAGAGAGAGACAGAGAGGCCAGGAAGGAGAAAGAGATAGAGAGACAGAGAGAGAGAGAAAGAGAGACAGAGAAAGAAAGAAAGAGAGACAGAAAGAACTACAAAGAGACAGAAGGACATTGGTTTCGCTTGAGACATCCTGAAACAACGTGTTCGCTTCGCTTGATGTTGTTATCTCAACATAAGAAGGAAGTAACTTCGATGGCGAACTTTTCCCGTGATAATGAAGTTCGGCCTCCGCGCCCCCGCGCCCCCGACCAAACTCTTATTGGTCGACGATAAAAAACTCTAACGACTTAAGGGGGGGTAACATTATTATCATGGGCATGGGGTTATGCCATCTGCGCCTCGTCATGGGCGGCCCGAGGATGCCAGGATCCTTCCGAACGGCCGGTTGAGGCTTGAGTTTTCACCCCGAAGCAACCGATAGAGGGCCAGGCGAGCCGACGGCGGCCCTGCCTGGCGTTTCTGTCTCTTGGATCTGGGGGCTTCTCGTCGCCATGGCTGGGTCTGCCTCGAGCAAATTCTTCCGGCTGGACCCCGGGAGGGGTCTGGGGACCGATGTTGAGCGGATGTGGGCCAGGCAGGAGAGCCGACATTGTCTCAAGTGGCCCTCCCCTCATGACATCATACTGGCAAAATGGTCCAACCCTTTCGCCTTCACATCGCCGACGATGCTGCCTCCTCCGAGACCACGCTTGCTTCTTCCCTCTACCCAGATGTTTGTGGTTGCCCTCTTCCTGGTGTGGCGGGTGAATGTGACAAGGGTGAGGAGGAATCAGAGGAGGAAAAGGAAGAGGTCGCCTTCCTTCACTCCCAAACGTCGTTGTCCTTCCTCGTGCGTTTGTCCTGCCTCCATCCTCGTGGTCCTGTTCCGTCCCTCCTTTTTCCTCCCTCCGTCCTCCATTTCCAGCCCCTCGTTTTGTCCAGTGTCAAGCGTTTCGCACTCGGGCTGATGGGGCAGCATAATTTAGCGAGTCCCAGCCGCCGCCAGCCATGCCCAGGGCGGCGGTGCACACTGTTGCCAGACGCTTGGGCGCCGGCATTGCTGTTCCCAGTCTCCCGCCTGGCACCGCCGTCAGCGGAGGAAACGGGCTGGCGCCCGCTTGCTCCTCCACGTGGTGGAGGCCCGCGGGGCTTTGGCTGGGCACCACGGCGAGCACCACGGCGACACCGGTGAGGAGGTTGCTGGCACAGCGTGCAGGGATCTTGGTGGTGATGGCGCTGCAGGCCCTCGGACTGGGCGCAAGGTTATCCCAAGCCCCATGGAGCCCCGCTGGCGCTGCCCACGCTGCCGTCAAGAAAGGCTATGGGCTAATCGCGTGGTGCGTCTGCTGCAGGGACGCGCAAGGCCAGTATAGCGCACCAGGAGGCCCTAGCCAAACGAGGGCCGCGGGCGAGACCACGCCAGCCTCCCATCTCCACCCATGCCAGTGGCCGAGCTGACGCTCCACGGCTCCAGCGGCTCGAAGCGACCATGGCCAACATTTCGCTTTCGCTGGAACGGTTCAACATCGGTAGCAGCAGCAGTGGGCCTACGAACGGATGGGCAACACCCACAGCAAAAGGAACTTCAGCTGCCGATCCCAGCGCTGCCGAGACCGAGCACTCTCTAGCAGACCATCCCCGCTCTTCAGATCGGTGGCGTGGACGCCCAGCAGCTCGAACAGGACCTCGCCAAGCTCGAGCAGCAGCGCGTCGCCAACCGCGGGCCACAGGCTCACCTCGCCAGGGGCTAAGCCCGACAACGCCAACACGAAGAAGATCAACATCGAGGACGAGCTCAGGAGGAAAAGGAACGACGTGGTCGAAGCCAAGGAGCTCGTCGAGGAGGCACCGAGGGAAGCCGGTAATTAGGAGACTGCCATCAGCGCGGCAACCGTCACCATCACCGAGCTCGAGACCAGCCGCAGCCAGGCCGCGGCACCTAAAGCTGGAAGCTCGCGCCCCAAGGTGGCCAGCATTGCCGCCAAGCGCCTCGCCGAGCACAAGCCGCGGGCGGCCGCGTCACAGGCCGTTCAGGCCAGGACCCCCGCGCCTGGAGCGCAGGAGGCGCCCGCGCCCATGGACAGCGATGAAGACTTCGAGGAGGGCGGGCTTGACGAGATCCTCAAAGTTTGCAAGTCCCAGGACAGCCAGAGGGCCCTCGAGACGCCAGCGCAGCGCCTCGATACGGCAAAGAAAGTACAACGCCGATTTCAAGCAGGTGAGCGCGCAGACCCACGAGGCCATCTCAGCGACCCGAAACGGGCCCGTCGGTAGACTCGGAGACGCACGACGCCGTCAGAGCGCACCTCAAGCGCGTGATCGGCGGGCCCCAGTTGTTAGGCCCCCGCGCAGGACGCCCCGCGCCCCTGCCTCGATCCTAGCTGGCCACCGCCAGGAGCCGCCCGACTGGGCGGGCGCGCAGGAGGAGCTCGACAGCGTCTACCACCGCGTCGCCAGCCCCAGGGCCGAGAGGCGGCCAACCAGGCGCGCCCCCAGTAGCAGAACGCCACCAGGGCCGATTTCCAGGGCGCCGTCGACCACGAGGCCCTGGCCACACAGCAAGGGGAGGCCAGGCACCGCGCGTCAAGCAGGTCGCCCGCACAGGGGCAAGGGCCACCAAGTGCTGCGACGACGCCGCAACGGGCAGGGCCCTCGCCCAGCTTGCTGGGCGGCTGCGCCAGGTGAAGAGCATGACCGCGCGGCGCTTCGAAAGGCTGAGCGGAAACCCCAGCCGCCGATGGGGGCCAATCTGGGCGGCGCCCACGAGCGCGCCCCCCCCCCCCCCGCGCGCTGCCGAGGCGCCCGGCTGCGACGGGCGCGCGATGCAGCGCGCGCCACGAGCGTGACGGCCGCGAGGACTGGTTCTCGTTTGTCAATGTCGCCCTTAGTCAGGTCGAGGCCGCCATCGAAACGTTCGAGCAGTCGAGCGGGGGCGCCCGCCGTCGGGCCCGCGGCTCGGCGGCGCCGCCCGCCCACCCCGCCCGCGGCGAGCTCGAGCTAGCGCCGACGGTCGCGGAGCAGGCCACGGCGGACTGACTCGCGGCAGGAAGATCAAGGGCTGGCGCGGGGCGCCGGCGGGCCGCCACCCCCAGGGGGCGCCCGCGCAGCGCGTGGCGGCGAAGGGCCCAAGCGAAGGCGCGGCCGATTTCGTAGACGGCGCGGCGGGGCGCGCCCAGAGCCGCACGGCGCGCCCTGTCGCGCTGCCGGTCAAGCGCCAGGCCGCGCGGCCGCGAGTTCGGAACGCGCGCCCGCCAGACAATCCTAGCGAGATGCCCCCCGCCCTGCACGCGGCGCCCACGGCAGCCCTCCAGGGGGGCAGCCGCGAGCGCCGCCAGCCGCGCCCCGCGGCCGGGCGGGCGCGATCGGTCAGCAGATCTTTCAAGACCCAGATATGCCAGCCAAAAGGCATCCATCCTCAACGTCTCGGCCGGCTCAGCGACGTCGAGCCGCCCGCCGCCCTGCTCCGCCATCGCCGAGGCCGGCGTCTCTCCCCCCGAGCAGGAGACGCGCGCGGCCCAGCGCATCGAGC